TATATATGACAATTGGTATTTTTTTAGCTTTAATTGTAATTTTTGTCATTTAAGTTTCATGATTTTGTGAATTTTGTCACTTAATTTTTTTTGAAATTGTATGTTTTGTCATCTAATTTTTAAACTTTTTTTCACATTTTGTCACTTCATTTATTAATTTAGGATTTATGGTTTATTGATCATTGGTCTTGGTTAGAACATCTCTAATGCACTTTAAATAAGCAAATCACTCTATTTCTTTTAAGTAAATTCATTCATGTCATCTCAATTTAGACAATCCATTTAATTTATACTTTAATACAAGTTTTTATATAAAAAAATTGTTTAACTCACAAATATATTTTCTCTCTCTTAAATATTTCATATTCTCTTCCTTATATGTACACACAAATATTAAGTAATTCACAAGGAAAAATTGATCATGTAAACAACTCTCTTTATTTTTAGTAACTAAAAATCACATGTGACATATTAAAATAATATTTTATTATTAAACCGTGGGAAGAAAATAAAACTTAAGTTTGGGTCGAGTTGATCCAGTTGGGTTGGGTTGGTGAGTACAGATGGATTGCGAAGTAGAGACTTGAGGCAGAGAAAATGGAGCAAACAAATAATTGGAACCACAAAAGAGGCCCGTATGGCTTTGGGTCCAAACTTGAGGCTTGTTAATTTGTTTATTAAACATTAGGCTCATGATATATACACCTCTCTTTTTTTATAAGTACACCTTCTTTTTAAAAATTTTTTATAAAATATTATAATTTTTTTTAAAAAAATTTAATTTTACACTTTCAACTTTTAATTTGCTACTTTCTTCTTCTTATTTACACACTTTTTTTTTTCTCTTTCAATTTTCACATGTTACCAAAATAGGTGAAGTAAAGGAAAAATAAGGGAGTACATGTAAAAATTAAAAAAAAGAGGAAAAATGTGTGAAAAAAAAGTAATAAATTAAATGTTGTAGATATAAAATTAAAAAATTTAAAACAAAAATTAAGAATAATTTAAAATTTTAATTATTTTTTTAAAAGGAAGTGTACTTATAGAAAAAAGAAGGAGTATATATCATCAACCTAAACATTAACTTATCCCATCCCATGTTATCTAAAATTGGCCAACTAAGAACTACAACGTATACATGATATCTAACATCAAACGGTTTTACATCAATAAATTATGTATGATATATACCATGCCATCAAGAACTACGAGTACGACGTGATGCTACCATAACATGCACATGAGATATACAACCTTCAAAATGCGAGTTTCTCATAACTTGATTCACCATACATCATCTTCATCAATCTTCTACACAACTACATGGATTGCTCCAACATTCTCCCTTTTATACTCCCCCCTCCCACTCAACTACTCCAACACACTCCCATAATTGTCGCATTATGATACTCCCAAACAACTTGTTGGATTCATGGCTCAGAAATGAAACAAATATTTCACATTTCCTTCAACATTATTCCATTTCCAGAAAAAAAGGAAGAAAAAAAAACCTCATTCAGTCTACCATTTCACTCAGATGTCGTTTTTTTTAGAATTTGTGGCAAACCACACCACCTACCACCCCTCTACCACCTTTAAAAACAAGTTCCCCTACTCCAAATGTACAAAATAATCTCTAATATCCTTATGTCACAGCACTCCAAACATGTCCCCCATACTTTGGTAGCAAAAACACAATTTAACTGCAGATGTGATGTTGTCTCTTCCAATCGATGGCACTTGACACACATAGTTTCGTTATGTTACAAAACTCTTCTAGAAACTAGTTATTTTATTTAAGGAAAGTGTTTTTAGGATAATTTTTTTTCTTTAATTTGTTCTCTCTTTTTTAAGTTTTAACTAAATTTCAACATATTTTAAATTATTATCAACAATTACAAATAATCTTACATACAATATAAATTAATTGTTATAAATCTTAAATATATTTTACATGTTTAAAATACTGATTTATTACAAATTTTAATTAAAATATTTATTTATAATAAGTTATAGTTATATAAAATAAACATTTATTTTATATATTGTATATTCAAATACTAATTATTTATAGATTTTAAAAATAATTAAAATTAATATATGAGAATTCAAAATGATAATTTAAACATAAAATCAATTTAACTCCATAAATCATAATCAACAAATATATATTAACATAAAAACACTGACAACCCCAATTGTGATCTTATAGGTAGGAAAATAAAGGTCTTTTGAACATGCTCTACAAAAAGGTGAGTGCAACAGAAGACCAAAATTCTTTCTTAGTATAGACATGAAAATATTGAGAACATTTTGCAGATTGGAAATAATAGAGGCGGAGCACTTATACTGTATTGGAATGTAAAAATGAATATAAAAATAAAAAATGTATTTAGAAAGTGTTTATAAGTAGAGTAAAAAGTAGAAAAGAATATAATAATAAAAATAAAAATAAAAAGAAAGTAGAAAGATGCCAAAAAGCTTTAGGAGGTGGGACGATAAGTGTGTCAGCCCCAGCCACAGGACAGAAAGTGGGGCAGACGTTGAAAAGGACGAGGGGAGGAAGGAGTAGGAATAAGGCAGTAGGCACCACGCGGTCCAAAAACTCCAAACCCCCTCTTCGACTTGGATTTCATCCCCACCCCTAAATTTATTGCAGGGCCTGTATTCGGCTAAGGCTAGCCACGTGCCACTCTTCCATTGGTCACTCGCCAGATCTCCCAGGTCCCACCAGATAGACTTGGACTCACTCCACTCGACTAGTTTCACATATTCACGCTTCCCTTCACCACACCACACCGCACCAAAACAAAACGAAACACAGATCACAGGGAGCCATCGCCACCCATGGCTTCCAAGCTCTGCGACTCTTGCAAATCCGCCACCGCCACCTTGTATTGCCGCCCTGACGCCGCCTTCCTCTGCGGCGCCTGCGACTCCAAGGTCCACGCCGCTAACAAGCTCGCCTCGCGTCACCCGCGCGTCACGCTCTGCGAGGTCTGCGAGCAGGCTCCGGCGCACGTCACCTGCAAGGCCGACGCCGCCGCGCTCTGCCTCGCCTGCGACCGCGACATCCACTCCGCCAACCCCCTCGCCAGCCGCCACGAGCGCCTCCCGGTCACTCCATTCTTCGAGTCCGTACACTCCGTCAAGGCCTCCTCGCCGATCAACTTCCTCGACGAGCACCGCTTCTTCTCCGATGCCGACGCTGACGTCAGCACCGAGGAGGCCGAGGCCGCCTCCTGGTTGCTCCCCAATCCCAAGACAGATCTAAATTCCTCTCCTTACTTGTTCTCCGAATCCGATCCGGTTCCTTACATAGATCTGGATTACGCCGCAGTGGATCCGAAGGCGGAGCAGAAAAGCTCCGGCACCGCCGACGGCGTCGTTCCGGTGCAGAGCAACTTCGAGCCTTTCACCTATGGTTACAAGTTTAACTCCACTCTGTCACAATCTCAGTCACAGATGAGCCAAAGTGTAAGCCTAAGACCGATCTCGAATTCTCGATCTATCCTTGCTGTAACTGTTTATTTTTTGTTTTTGTTTTGGAGTCGAATACGCGTAACGTTGATTTGTTTGTTTGTTTGTTTGTCCTGGTGGATGTTGATTTCTTCAGGTATCGTCGTCGTCGATGGAGGTAGGAGTTGTGCCGGACGGGAACACTATGTCGGAGATATCCAACTGCAGCTACAGCAAGGTAGCGGTGACGGCGACGGCTCAGTTCTCGGCGGCAGATAGGGAGGCTAGGGTGTTGAGGTACAGGGAGAAGAGGAAGAACCGGAAATTCGAGAAAACGATTCGTTATGCTTCGAGAAAGGCCTATGCTGAAACGAGGCCAAGGATCAAAGGCAGGTTCGCCAAACGCACTGATGCGGATCCTCTAGCTGGATACGGCGTGGTTCCGTCATGTTGATTTGGCTAATGATATAATATATGCTATTATTATTATTATTATTATGTGATATGCTTCTGCTGTTTACGTTTTTGTTTTCTTATGTTGCTGTATATAAATCACTCTCTTTTTTGAGTTTGAATTTAGCAATGTAAAGTTGCAAACTCTTGGTGTGGATCGATTTTGTAGTTGTTTCTTGTTTTTTTGGTGAATTTTGGCAGCTGTCTCTTGCATCCAAAGAGACAGAGAAGACGATGATGGCAATAGCATTTCCTTTTCGGCTATGGCTGCTGTGCAGATTTGGCGAATCAAAATCTGGAATGCTATTGGCACTGGACCTGTGATTAACAGGTTACTTTAATCATAAATCATATTTAATCCTATATGATATCTGCTCTTTTTAAAATCATTAAAGTAGTATTTTATTAACCCGATTATTTTATTAACTTATCCGGATCTCCCTCTCAGTCTCTGTGTTACTTACTGTGTATGTCAGGTGAGGAAATGTTGGAGTGTGTTACTTACTCTGGTTTATGATAGCACTTTTACTTGCTACTATTATCAGTAAGATTCAATAAATAAATTTATTTTTTTTATTGAAAATTATCTATTCATTTCTTCTCTCTTAGTAAGAGAGAAAGTAGAAAGACTTAACTTTCAAGATTTTTTTTTTGTCTAAAACAATCCTTAATTAAGGATATTTAATTTTGAGATAAATTAATTAGCACACGAAACAACTAAAAGCATCTTATAAAAAAAAGAAAAATAATAATAAAATAAAGAGTCTTGCATATAAGAAGATAATACATGGGGAACCTTAAAGGATGTATATTAATTATGTATTTGTTAATTTTAATTTTTAAATCATTATCTTAATAAAACGATAGAAAAAATTTTATTGTGCATCACATAATAGTTGTTTTAATGTATATTTATGACCACAATGAAAAAATATAAAAATATTTTCTGATAAAAAAAAATATTGAGCATGTCATGTTTTAGTATTTAAATGCGAGAGTAATATTTTATGATATCGGCATGTAAAAGATATTTCTAAACTATTTTTAACATAGTTTAAATTCAGATTAAAATCACATGCTCAAGATATTGGGATTTTTTTTATTTTATTTTATAGAATACTTTTGGTTTTGGTCCATTAAAAGCGACTAGTATATATATATATATATATATATATATATATGATTTTTATATGAGAGAAATCTGTTTGTCTTAATCTTTTTACAATAGTCTTTTAAAATTATTTATTGTATTATTTAAAAAATACACTCTTAAGTTCAAAAGTATTAATTAAATTAAAATATCATAATTTTCATAATTTTGAAAAATAATAATACAAAAGCAGACAAATTTAGCAATATTAATTAAATTTCTTAAAGGCTCAAAGAGGTAGCATTAGTTTGTCTAACCACTTATTTATTGCGGTATTTGAAGTTTAACAAGGCACGTAACATTAAAGATGCGAAGAAAAATTTCGCTGCACTTGATTCCTAAATTTTTGTGTGTATAAACTCTCAAATCAAAATCTTCTCTTGTTCATTTGACTTTTTTATTTGGAAAGAATTATTGCACAGACTTGTCTTGCGTATCTATTCTCGCAAGTCGCAAATATATATCATGCGAAGAATCACGTGAGACAATTATGTTTCTCCTCATTAGAATTGGGTGAGTCTAGTTTAGGAAATTGATTTTCAATTTTGCTAACTTCTGCTCTTAAAAACCAAGAAATATATGGCCTTTGTTGAATAAAATTATATATTTTATTTTATTAAAAATTAAATTATATTTGTAGTTCCTTTATTTTTATCAATTCATAATTTAGTTTTTATTTTAAAATAAATATATTTAATCCTTTTAATTTTAAAGATATAAAATTTTAATTTTCCTATCAAATTTTACTAATCACTAAGTTTTAAGTTTACTCATATTTAACCAATATGATATTTAAAAATAAAAAAATAAAAAATATTAATAAAATTTGTATTAGTAAAATAAATATTAACTACCCATAAAAATAAATACTAACAAAGATTTTTTTAATATTATTTTTAACTTTTATCAATAAATATCACTAGATAATATCAAAATTTGACATTCAATAAATATCAAATTGATGAAATGACTAAAGTTTCGTATTTTAAAAAATGATTAAATATCTTTATTTTAAAATAATAAAAAAAATTAAAATTACATTAAAAAAAATATAGAAATAAAAAGTACGATTTAAACCTATATTAAAAAAATATTTCTAATTCTCTAACCATTGTACTAATTAATATGTTGCAACATTTAAGTTCGATTGCTGTTTTATCGCATGAAAATAATATAAAATATGTCATTAAATGCTTTTTTTTTTGGGTTTTTTTTGTAGTATTTAAATATAAAATTAATCAGTTTAACATATTCAACATATTTTTTTTTTTATGATTGTCCAATAGAATATTTCAACAATACTCATTATCTCAAGTAAGATTAATAATTTTTCCCGACAGACTTAATTAATCTTTCTTATTACATATTGACTCCCCTTCTTCTAATTTGGACGGTTTAGTTGTTCTTACCCTATTAAAAACTTCTAATTATAGTACAGTGAATGAATGGCTTCTAAATACTGTATTCTTTTGAGCATCAATCAGTTTTTTTAAAAATATTAGGTTAAAAACCTCTTTTGGTCCCTAATAATATTTTTTTTTCAATTTAATCTCACTTTAATTTTAGGTCTCAATTTGGTTCTCAATAATTTAAATCATTGCAATTTAGGACTTCCGTCCAAATGATTTAAATAGGGTTAACTCCTGCTGACGTGGATGCTAGGTGGATGCCACGTAAATGCACAGGTGGAGGCCAAATGTCATGAATACACCTGGAACCAGAACGGCCCGTTCTGAAACCAGAACGTCCCGTTCTGCATGCACATGTTATGTGTTAAGTTTGCAACTGGAACGGGCTGTTTCAAATGCAAATTTAACACAACATAAGTGCAGCAGAACGGGCCATTCTGCTGTTAGAACGGGCCGTTCTGAATTTAGAACAGCCCGTTCCAGCCAACTCATGCTTTTTATTGTATTTTTTTTATTATATCTATATTAATAAAATATAATAAATAAAAAATACAATAAATTAATATTCATTTATGAATAAAACTATAAAAAAAAAAAGAGAATCAAATAAGATAAGACCTTTCAAAATCCTTCTTTGATTTGAACTTATCTAGTTCAAAATCTTGACTAAAATGATGCAATGTGATTCAAAAAATGAAAATAAAAATTCATAATATATCATAAATTCAAAGACAGAAATATGGTTCAGAAACTGAAAACAAAAATTCATAACATAACATATACTAAAAAAGTTCAAAGAAATTATTGAGAAAGGAAATCATCTGGGTAACGCTGAAGGAAAACCCTAAACCACAAAAATTCAAGTTGTACCTCCTCAAGAACAGGTTGTTATTGTTGGGGTACATCGTCAATAACTTCAAGGGGAAACACCGTTTAGTTTCATCCTTAACTGTATAGTGTCAATTTGGTAGTAAGTGGTTCACTCCAGTTTGACTAACAATGAAATAAAACTTGTTACCATTGTCCTTAGTGATACACTACGTCGTCCTTAATGATACACTGTATAGCCTAAATATTTAGCAATTGAAGTTATCAATCCCCATTAACAATATTACCAAATCTAGTGTGTGAAATGCTTTATACTTTAGTTTTTTTTGCACGAAATTCTGGAACCAGAACGGCCCGTTCTGGTTACACTGTTGGTATGTTAATTTTGTATCTGAAATGGCTCGTTCCAGGTACAAAATTTACACACCAATAGTGTAACCTGGTTTCAGAACGAACCATTATGGTTCTAGGTGTATTCAAGTATTTTGGAATCCACCTACGTGGTATCTACGTGACATCCACCTGACCACCAGTTAATTCCATTTAAATTATTTAGACGGAAGTCCCAAATTGCAATGATTTAAATTATTGGAGACCAAATTGAGACCTAAAATTAAAGTGGGACTAAATTAAAACAAAAAAAATATTATAAGGTAGCATGAGATTTTTAACCAAAACATTATTACACATATATCAATACTCACAATCTTTTCACTTCTTAATTTATTACATCTTAAATTCTCTCACTTGAATTAATACCGGATGTTTGAATTAATTTTGGTTAAATTTTTTATTTGAAATAAAGTAATTTATAATTAGAAATTTTTATTTTAAAAGCAAGTTAATCAAATTTCATATAATTTTTTATCTAATACAATAAATAAAAATTATTTTAATTTAAAATCCAAAATTAAATTATTAGTATAAAAATTAAACATAAATTTGTATCTAAAATCATGTTAACTAGTAATTAGATGTATTTTAAATTATAGAAGCTAGATACAAACATATACTAAGACCACCTCCAACAATGGTTCTTAACAGATTTTCTTGCAAAATTTATCATTAGAATAAAATGATGTAGATGTTACGTGTAAGAACAATTCTTATATAACAACTTTCATGAATCTGTTCTCAAATAATATTTTTTTTTATTATTATTCTCACTTAATCGTGGAGTCTATATAAAAGTAAATTAATAATTCAAGTTAAGTTCCTGAGCAAATATAAGAAGGTTCTAAAATCGTACAAGACTTTCACCCAAAAAAAAAAAAAGAATCGTACAAGAAACTGTGAAACTTACAAAAAATGGATTAAGAATCAAAATTTTACCATTGTAAATGCTCTAACAGACTTTTACTAAGTTGAGAGAAAGAGGACGTGGCCGAGTAAATGATGAATTGACGATGAAAATAATAATTATTGTAGCTGCCGTGTAAAAAATGAGAAATACTAATAATATATTATTTAACACACTTCTCTTAATATACATTCTCTTATGATTATAATTTATTAAAAATTATAAAATCAAGAAAGAATGTCATTAAACAAAATGCGAGAATTATCAATTTTTTATTTTAATCAATTCTCTTATGATTGATAGGTTCTTGAATTTTATTTTATTTTTTGTCATTTGAGTCCTTAGTCATTATATTATACTAAGTTATTAATCTTGTTAGTTTCTTGAACAGTTAATAGTTAAATGTCAAGTTAAGACTTATTTTCTCTCCCAATCGACATGCAATAATTTTAAATTAAGTAAATTTACACACATGATAAAATAAAGTAATTTTTAATTTAATTTAAAAATAATTAAAGTAACATTTGAATGACTTATTTCTTCCTATCCACTTTCATTCTTGTATTTCATTTTACCCACGAAATGGATCTACGTAGGAGAAAATTCAATGAAAAATATCTTGAATGTCAAACCACTAAGAGAAAAGAAAATCCAAACAAATAAAAACATCAATAAG